TGTGCAAAGCCACTCGGCTCGCTGTGGATCCACCTGCTGGCTCCCTGGCCCAACTCACCCAATTCCATGGCTGCCATTAGACCAGGTTGGGCTGACCCTGATGATACCCAGCCAGAGGACTTGGAGTGGGACCCTCTGGGCATTGCCCTAAGATCTACTTCATGGGCCCCCGCCTCAGCCGAACATCTGCATCAACCCGGTCATAAGTCTCAGTGTGGTCAATGGTGTTGGTTGAGGACCAGAAGAGGGGCTGGCTAAGTCTCTGTCTCCAGGAGAAGGAAACGGGAACACACTATTCGGGCCAGCTGCCCAGACCCTTGTCTGACTGGTAAGGTCTGCTTGGACACCTCATCTGCTGCAGCCTTGAGGAGAGGAACTGCGGCACCCTCCTGCTCCAGTCCTTCAGTCCCCATGGCGCTCTCTGGTGCTGCTGGCCCTCTGTAGCTTACATCTTATTGTTAATCAGGTAGAATTTCATGTTCACATAAATTCAAAAGTTAAAAAAGTAAATCTGCATATTTATTACTTATAGAGGTACTCCCTGTCATTTTGTATAATGTCCTAGCCAATGGCCTGTGAAACGTCCTGCCTGCTATGTCCTCTTGACCCTCCTGTCTCCTCCCTGTTACTCGTTTGTCTTAGCCCTTGTTCCTAACCCTTGTGTTAATCACTCTCAGCTGCTTCTCGCTAGCTCCCCTGTTAGTCTAGTATATAAGTACTTCCCAGTCCTGTGTTCCCCAGTCCAGTAATTGACTTGTTCCCTTGAGATGCCTGTGCCCTTCCTTGCTCCTGTCTACCCATTTTGATCCCTCGCAATCTGGTTTATTTCCAGTTTATGTCTGTTGATCTCAATAAACCCCCTTTTGTTTTGCCACAATGCCGGCCCTCGATTCCTTTATCATTCATGTCATGACAGCCAGTCTGTTTAGTTGTTTTTCCAATCGATAAGTAGTATAATTTAATGGATTGCCATTAGAGTCTGCTTCAATCCCTGAGGTGGGATGTACACCAGAGAGCACAAACACTAAATCAGCCTCACTCCTGGTGTCATGCCTTCTAAAGCACAGAGGGAAAAAGCTTCTTGCATGTGGCACCTAGTCTCAGGAATCCTCAGCCCATGGTGATATCCTCACAACCAGCCCCTGTGACCTCCGATAAAGACATCAGGTCATGGGGCTTGCTGTGGTATAGCTTCTACAGTGAATATGGTGGCAGTCACTGATAGCCAGCAATGTGTTCCTGACATTGCCTGAAATTACCACATTATTTGGCAGTTTTAACTCAGTCCAGTTTGTTTAAATAGGGGTTTTAACAAGGAGTATTATCAGAAAGCAATTTATAGAGCCCCAGGCCAGAGGTCTCTCCCAAATACTGTTGTCCTCCCCTGCCTCTTCCACATCTTCTTCGCCCTCCTCTCCCCTGCCACACCAGCATGCATCCTGACATCTCCTCCTTTTCCCTGCCACACTAGCATGCATCCAGACATCTCCTCCTCTCCTCCCACCGCACCAGTATACATCTGGACATCTCCACCTCTCCTCTTGCCACACCAGCATGCATTTGGACATCTCCTCCTCTCCCCCATCACACCAGCATGCATTTGGACATCTCCTCTCCCCCATCACACCAGCATGCATCCAGACATCTCCTCCTCTCCTTTTCTCCCACACGCCACACCACCATCCATCCAGACATCTCCTTTCTTTGCCTCCCCCCTGCCACACCGCATGCATCATGGCATCTCCTCTCTTCACCTCCCCGCCGCCACACCGCATGCATCCAGATATCTCCTCTCCTTGCCTCCCACATACCACACCAGCATGCATCCAGACATCTCCTCTCCTTGCCACACACATGCCACACCAGCATGCAGTTCTATTTATCAATGTGTAGCTTGCACAACAGTTAATTTCTCATCCAAAGTACACTAAAACTACTAAACATGTACCTGTTTTCTACTAAGACACTGGTGTAAGTTCTCTCACAGTGAAAGTGCTTTGCCACTGTAAATGCAATAACCTAAAAACACTAACAGTAGGTACCACTATAAGAGATATACATTTGTTTCTGAAGTATCTTTGATGATTTTTGACAAGAATGGCATCTCATTATCGTATCGAATGTTCTATGGCATATACTATGGGAATGAACCAAAAATGCTAAAACATACTTCAATATGCTTATTTTTGGCATAGTTTCCCATACAGTAATTTTAAAGTAAACAAAATGAATTTACAGTAATTATAGTACTGCAATATATAAACTACACATATAAATACACAATATATAGAATATCTACCAGTCAATAAAGATATAATGCTAATCAATCCAGCATTTGTCCAGAAGTTCCCATTCACATCTCACTTATGTCCTCTCTCACAATACACTTGAAAAGGGTCTCTTGGCATGGCTGATCCATCCGTAGCAATCTTCTGGAGATCTATCCAGGTACCAAGTGTTCATTGCATCTAAGTGTGACATCTGATCATTTATACAGTGAGCATAACCTTTCCTCCTCCCCAAGGAAGATTCCTCTAAGGGACTGAGGAATGGAGAGCAGGCCGAGAGGAAAAGTGACACCATGCTAGGATACACTCTCCGAATGCCACAGAGGGGCGAAATGCTACGCTATCTCATACAATTACAAACGTTTGCATATTTCACCTCACCTGCCCTACCACCTTACCGGGCACAAGCCTTCCATAGAGGTCATGCAGTGAAGTGCTCTGTGTTGTATGGCCCAGTTTTAGGTTTATGTAACAATAATCTGTCAGAGGATGCCGACACACACATTGTGATGTGGGCACTCCTCTCTCAGAGCATCCATCACGGGTGCTTTTTGGCCACTGCCTCACCCATAAAGATGAATATGTAGGCTGTTTGTCTAGCTTCTGTGACTCTAACATACAGTAAATGCACAAAGTAATGTCAGAATTACGCTATTACAATAGTTTCCATTACAGGCTTTTGCAGATGGTTACATTTCCCAATCCCAAATTTAAAACGTTTCATACTCTTGTCTTTATCAACACATAATTTGGCACAGCCAAAATACACTAAAACTAACAAAACACTTCATATATCAATCTCAAAATCAAATCATTCCACCATAGCATTCTACTAGCAAAAGATCCCTCCCAACAAGAACACTTCGTCACTCACCACACAATGACCTAGATAAAGGAAACATTACATAGAATTACAAGATGTTCCATTTTAACTTTTAAGTATTTTTAGAAGTAGTTTTTAGAAGTATGCTGAGTCTTTTTTTGTTTACATAAACAGAAATGGAAATCTGACACAATATATATTGAATATAATGTATAGAAAGTACAGTTACAGGAATAAATGCGTAAAAGGCTGCAATATGCTTCAGTATGCTTTGTTTTTTCACTTTTTGCAAGGGAAAGGTAGAAAGAACATGCTAATCTACTGTAATTCAAGAACTGTGCATATATGTCTAAATATACCCATACACACTTAGAGTATGTGAAGGGAATGAACTGATCAGTAAACACAGCAGTGCTAGTCAACCCTGCATTCACTACATCTCTCACAATAATACCTATGAAAAAATAACTCGAATACGATTAGATTCGAATTGGAAAAAATAACTTATTTTGCCTGATGTGCACAGGGGCTGAGTGAACACTGTGGGTTTATTGTATCTGTGCTTTTAATAAACCTTGAGAAAGCTACCTTGTTGTAAGGCTCCATTGTTGCCTTATGTGTACAGACACGGTGTAAAGCAGGGTTCCCCAATTCCAGTTCTAGAGGGCCAGAATCCAATACAGCTTGCATTTACCTGCTTAAACACATCTTAAACAGCTGCAATTACTGGGTTTACTAGGTACGTCTGAGCAGGTAAATCTACAAACTGTTTTGTAGTGAATTGGGGAACCCTGTTGTAAACCGACAAGATAGCTATCATCAACCTACCTCAGCTCTACCTTGCAGCAAAACCAAAGTCTATACATGCAGGGTGGGGGTGCAACGGACTTTTCATCCGTTGACTCTCACATTTAACTCTGCCAGTCCTCAGGAAACTGGAAGAGAGCAGTAGTGGCAGTCACCTTGGATGGACATGGCTAGACTAGCATGTTGTACGGATGACTCAGCTTTATTTTAATTAGGCATGTCTTGCATTTCCTTTTGTTGGCAAGGTACCAGTTTGAAGTTAAAGAGCAGTGAGGCAGTTAAAAAAAGACTTTGCAATCGGATTATCTGTAAAAGGCCTGCAGAAGAGATTCTCTTTGTTATATTTACATGTTATAGTTCTGGACCCCCTGAATCTGTCATCCACAAACCTTCTATGTCCCTGACCCCTAATATGATCGACCTGGACTATGATAATACCGTTTCATGCCACCTGTAAAAATTTACCACCAACACCATCCAGCATACCAGGGAGTCATTAAGACTGGTCATCATCCAGAGACAGGTACTGGAGGTTCAGATATCTCAATGTGATCAGTAGGCTGCTAGAAAATTTCTATCAGTCCATTGTGGCCAGCATGTTGTTCTACGCTATGGTCTGCTGGGGGAACAACATAGCTCAGGCAACATAATTAATCAAGAAAGTCAGATCGAACTACGATTAGATTCGAATTGGACTAACTGTAGTTTGTGGTAGAGAAAACATTGCTAACAACGCTGAAATCCATCAGTAACAAGCTTGTACATTGTCTGACCGAGGATCTATATCAATCGCGGGAAAATTTCTCTTTTGTGGCCTTTTGCGCCGTCTCGCGGATAAAAAGTGCAACCGTGAGTACATGCCAGTAAAACTTTCCTGTACAGTTGCCTCTGTATGTACTGTGCGACTTTCACCAATACTCACTACACTACAGAACAATCGACACTTAATTACAATGCATGAAAGCCGATACAGATAAAGGACATTGTAGCATATCCTGTAATTCAGACAATATTGATATGCACCACGCAACGGAGAAAAACTACAAACGCGACGCATTTTGGCGTAATGATAGTGTCATCAATGTACGTCGTCACGCATCGACATGACAAGATGGCGGCGTGCTGAAAACCTCATGCTTTTATTTTAAAGTGTTTTCATTTCTGTATTACTTTACTAACACGCTTTATAATAATCGACAATGTCTAGATTAATAGTGAAGAATCTCCCGAACGGGGTTAGTATGTTTGTTACTTTTATAAATAAGTGTTTGGAGCTCATATCAGACCAAAAAAATATCGTGTGCCCAAAGATAGAAGTAATTTTATAATATTTTATGTCCACATCGATGTTTTAACAGTGCTGTATAAATAGTTATAACTAAACAACGCGTATTAATACCACTAGAGGACCCTTGGTCTGTTAAACTATTTGTGTCGCGCGACTTAATGTGTATCGTAATGTGTAATAATATATTTTGTGTCCGATAATAAGAGGATGGTTGACGACTGATCGAAGTCAATTAATTGTGATTATATTGGCAGATGAAGGAGGAGCGGTTTCGTGGGTTGTTCGCTGCCTTTGGTAGCCTGACCGATTGCTCCCTGAAGTTTACAAAAGAGGGAAAGTTCCGCAAGTTCGGATTTGTAGGCTTCAAATCAGAAGAGGAGGCAGAAAGGGCACTTAAACACTTTAACAAGAGCTTTGTGGACACCTCCAGGGTGACGGTAGGATGGCGAGAGCATTACATTTGCACTCACACACTATTACATCATGATTTTGTCCACAAGATGGAAATACCATAATTCTCATTTCATTAGCTACCCTACTAAGTTGGAGGTTGTTGCTTTATTTTTCAGGTGGAATGGTGCAAGTCTTTTGGGGATCCTACCAAGGCTAGGGCTTGGAGCAAACACACCCACCCACCCCCAGCCAACAACAAGGAGCATGAGGTGAAAGAGCTCAAGACTGGGCCCCTTATCTAGAGCACTTGCAATTGACACATAGTATGGTGTATCTTAGAAGGATGTACACATGTCCTACTAGGGCTGCACAATTCTGAAAACAAAATGTGAATCGAGATTCTTTTGCTTAAAATTGAGATCATTATACTCTGTAACAATATTTTTTAAAATTTAAACGTTAATTACACTCATTAAACCTCAAAATGAAAAACAACAAAACATGATTGTGCCAAACATATGATTGATCCAGGACCAGCATTTCAACTTCTGACAATAGGAAGGAAATGCTCAATTGGCCATTCAGTTAGGGTAATCAAAACAGCCATACCAAACGTTCCAGTACCAAAAGTGCCAGTGGGGTAGTTTTTGGTACTTTGGGGTGGGACTTTAAACACTTTCTTTGTCCAACAGTTATGCAATAGTCTGCCTCTGAAACCCAATACAACCAGCATATTGAAAACAGTTGTGAACTCAGAAAACAATGATAAATGAGGTAAAATAATTATTAATAATTAATAGCTTTAATTGCGATCTGAACGGAAGATCCAGAGCTCAGTATAGCATAAAAAGAAATAAAGTATTTTGTATAATATACTAATATACTAGGGCAACATGGTTTTGGAAAATTTCTATGTATTACAATGTGATTTCGTAATAAATTTTGTAATAAATAATGCAGTAATTATAAAACAAAAAAGGAATTCACCATAAATTTCTCAAGGACATGTCTAGGAGTGATTAAAACTGCAAGGATGAAAATAATTATGATGATCTCAGAGAATGCATGTGGTGCTCATGCAAAAGCAGCGTAGGTAAACTTTAAACTGATTTTTAAATATATACTAGATAATATTGAAAAGGAATAATAAATTATTAAGTTCTGTAATTTTAATTTTTTTCCTATTACAAAAATCAAAATGTTTTAGCAAAACTGAACCTCCCCGCACTATAATGTCCGTATACATTGAAAGTAAGCAAAAGCCTGATCTTAATCTAGCTGACTGACAAATAAGAATTGCACATGCACAACATGCAATGTTGGTATTAATATCGCACATCAGCCAGCCCTATAATATACTACAGCCATTTTTCCAATTTAGTACAAAATACCCCACCTTGCACTGTGATGTCATTCTGTGCCAGTAGCAGTTTTTATGGCAACGGAAAACCAACACCTTGAAGTACCCGTACTTTTGGTACCTTCTTGAAGTGCCAAAAGTAAGGTACCTGGTATACTGGGAAAGCGCCCTTTAAAGACAATGCAGAATTCTGGAACACTTGAGACTCTGGGGATAAGCAGGAGCGCTTGTTTTGATCCAGCTGATGCAATGCAATGCAGAAGAACCATTGTAATTTAGAAATGAGATTGTGTTTTTTTTTTGTTGTTTTTTTTTTAACAATTAATTGTGCAGCCCTATAGCCTACCATACACCGGGTGTTAGTTGGACATTGACTTTGTTAAAACTTTGCGAGCAGGACATGCACAAACATATGTTGTTGTGTGTGAGCAGGCAGGAGTTAATACTATATCAGTAACTATGGTGAACTTAAATGTACATTCTGCTACTTGGCCTTGCTATTGAACTTTAGAAACTTCTCGCATTTGACATCTCAGGAGAAACAGAAGAATAAGAAAAAGAAAAAGCAAGAAATTGTAACTGTTGTTGGAGAGGTAGGTCATTTCTATTTATTCACTGTAAAGTGTTACAAATAAAAATAAAAAGAACACTAATTTGGGTAAATTATGAATTTAAGCATGATATTTGATCACTGTAAGCTGTTATCTTTCAAGAAAGCAGCTGGATTTTAATAGTTTTTTTTCACCCTTTATATTAACAGCCTATATTTGCTGCCTGATGTATATGATAGTTTCAGCACAGCAGTAGAGTACTACACGTGTCTAATGGTGTAACTCTGGTGAATTTTTCCCAACACCCCTGTAGCTAGAGCAGGACCAGGGCTTTCAGGAGTTCCTTGCTGTACACCAGAAACGAGCCCAAGGCCCCACATGGACCAATGACAGCTTACCAAAGCTGGCTGATACCAGCACTGCAAGTCAGGAGAAGAAAATATCCAAAGCTGCTAAAGATGACTACCTCAACTTTGACTCCAGTGAATCTGATCTTAGCCAAGATGAAGACCAAGAGGATGAAGCGATTCAAAGTAAGTGTTATTAGCACTTATAACTTATGTGCCCAGATTGATGTACAATGCCTTGAAAAAGCATTCATACCCCTTGAACTTTTGTCACATTATAACCACGAACTTAAATGTATTTTACTGGGATTTTATGTGATAGACCAACACAAAGTAGCACATAATTGTGAAATGAAAAGAAAATGATACATGGTTTTCAAAATGTTTTACAAATAAAAATCTGAAAAATGTGGCATGCATTTGTATTCAGCTTGATTGAGTCAATACTTGGTAGAACCACCTTTTGCTGCAATTACAGCTGCAAGTCTTTTGGGTTATTGCCCATTCTTCTTTGGAAAATAGCTCAAGCTCAGTTAGTTTGGATGGAGAGCATCTGTGAACAGCAATTTTCAAGTCTTGCCACAGATTCTCAATTGGACTTAAGTGTGGACTTTGACTGGGCCTTTCTAATATATGAATATGCTTTGATCTAAACCATTCCATTTTACCTCTGGCTGTATATGTTTAGGGTCGTTGTCCTGCTGGAAGGCGATCCTCTGCCCCAGTCTCAAGTCTTTTGCAGCCTCTAAAAAGTTTTCTTCCAGAATTGCCTTGTATTTAGATCCATCCATCTTCCCATCAACTCTGACCAGCTTCCCTGTCCCTGCTGAAGAAAAGCATCCCTACAGCATGATGCTGCCATCACCATGTTTCACAGTGTTCACGGTGATGTGCAGTGTTAGTTTTCCGCCACACATAGCGTTTTGTATTTAGGCCAAAAGGTTCAACTTTGGTCTCATCTGACTAGAGCACATTCTTCCACATGTTTGCTGTGTCCCCTACATGGCTTGTGGATGGGAACTGCAAATGGGACGTCTTGTGGCTTTCTTTCAGCAATGTCTTTCTTCTTGACACTCTTCTATAAAGGCCAAATTTGCGGAGTATCCAACTAATAGTTGTCCTGTGGACAGATATTCCCACCTGAGCTGTGGATTTCTGCAGCTTCTCCAGAGTGATGATGGGCCTCTTAGCTGATTCTTTGATTAGCGCTCTCCTTGGACAGCCATGTCTTGGTAGGTTTGCAGTTGGGCCATACTCTTTCTATTTTTGGATGATGGATTGACCAGTGCTCTGTGTGATGTTCAAAGCTTGGGATATTTTTTTATAACCTAACCTTGTTTTGAACTTCTCCACAACTTTATCCCTGACCTGTCTGGTGTGTTCCTTGGTCTGGGCCTTTGCAGAACAGCTGTATTTATACTGAGAATAAATTACACACATTTACTAGTTAGGTGACTTCTAAAGGCAATTGGTTGCACTGGATTTTATTTAACGGGGCTGAATACAAAGTCACAGTTTTCAGATTTTTATTTTTGAAACATTTTGAAAACCATTTATCATTTTCTTTCCACTTCACAATCATGCGCTACTTTGTGTTGGTCTATCACATAAAAGCCCAATAAAACATTCAAATTAAAGGAACACTTTTTAATCAGAGTATAGCATCAAGTCAATTAAACTTCTGGGATATTGATGTGGTCAGTTAAGTAGCAGAGGGGGTTGTTAATCGGTTCCAGCTGCTTTGGTGTTAATGAAATTAACAACAGGTGCACTAGAGGGGCAACAATGAGATGACCCCCAAAACAGGAATGGCTTAACAGGTGGAGGCCGCTGACATTTTTCCCTCCTCATCTTTTCTGACAGTTTTTTCACTAGTTTTGCATTTCGCTACAGTCAGTGTCACTACTGGTAGCATGAGGTGATACTTGCACCCTACAGAGGTTGCACAGCACAGTCCAACTCTTCCAGGATGGCGCATCAATACATGCCAATTGCCAGAAGGTTTGCTGTGTCTCCCAGAACAGTCTCAAGGGCATGGAGGTGATTCCAGGAGACAGGCAGTTACTCTAGCTGGTCAGGGCCATAGAAGGTCCTTAACTCATCAGCAGGACCAGTATCTGCTCCTTTGTGCAAGGAGGAACAGGAGGAGCACTGCCAGAGACCTACAAAATGACCTCCAGCAGGCCATTGGTGCGAATGTCTCTGACCAAACAATCAGAAACAGATTTCATGAGGGTCGCTTGAGGGCCCGACGTCCTCTAGTGAACCCTGTGCTCACTGCGCGGCACTGTGGACCTCGATTGGCATTTGCCATAGAATACCAGAATTGGCAGATCCGCCACTGGCACCCTGTGCTTTTCACAGATGAGAGCAGGTTCACACAGAACATGTGACAGATGTGAAAGGGTCTGAAAAGTCATGGAGAACGTTATGCTGCATGTAACATTGTTCAGCATGACCGGTTTGGTGGTGGGTCAGTGATGGTCAGGGGAGGCATATCCATGGAGGGACACACAGACCTCTACAGGCTAGACAGCAGCACCTTGACTGCCATTGGGTATTGGGATGAAATCCATGGACCCACTGTCCGACCCTACGCTGGTGCAGTGGGTCCTGGGTTCCTCCTGGTGCACGACAATGCCCAGCCTCATGTGGCGAGAGTATGCAGGCAGTTCCTGTAGGATGAAGGAACTAATAGCATTGACTGGCCCCTACGCTCGCCTCACCTAAATCCAACAGAACACCTCTGGGACAATATGTTTCAGTCCATCTGACAGCGCCAGGTTGCACCTCAGACCGTCCAGGAGCTCAATGATGCCCTGTTCCAGAACTGGGCGGAGATTGCCCAGGACACCATCCGGCGTCTCATTAGGAGGATGCCCCGACATTGTCAGGCATGCATACAAGCACGTGGGTGCCATACAAACTACTGAGTACGATTTTGAGTTGCTGCAATGAAATTTTGGCAAAATGGACTAGCCTGCTGCATCATTTTTTCACTTTGATTTTCGGGGTGTCTTTGAATTCAGACCTTTGTAGGTTGATAATTTTCATTTCCATCAAACAATGTGGCATCCTTTCATTCCTAGCACATTACCTAGTCCATATCAGTATAGATATCCAGCATGATTTTTTTCATCATTGAAATCTGATGTGTTTTCAAAGTGTTCCTTTAATTTTTTTGAGCAGTGCACATTTAAGTTTGTGGTTCTAATGTGACAAAATGTGGAAAAGTTCAATGGGAATAATAACTTTTTCCAAGGCACTGCACAGCAAAATCTTTGATCTTTATTGACTGGTACTACACATTTGAATCACATACTATGAGTAATTTAGAGCTGCAGATCTAACTACATGCCTTTGGGCAGAGGTGGGTATTTCTGGTCCAGAGAGTAGTTGTTGCTTGACCAAGATTTTGTTTTTAACCAACCACTTGAATACTCTGTGACTCTTTAAACTCAGCTTGTTGGTTGAAACAAAACCTTGGTCAGGACTTCTACTCTCTGGACCTGAATTACCTACATTTGACTTTGGCCTATGAGAGGAAATTCCCCAGAGGAAACCTCAGTGAGCTGAGCAGAGGTCAATGATCAAGGATTTTTTGTCACTGTGCAAGTGGATTTCACAAGCACAACAAAATTTAGTAGCTGCCTCCATAATGACATAAATAACATACATACAATCAAACACACATAGAAGCATACATCTGGATTATATTAAATGGCAAGTGAATAACTAGTTTTCATAGAAGATGAGTTAAATGCAGGGGAAATGGGAAGTGTGAAGAACGAATGACTGACAAGGGACAAATTGGCATGGCCAGACTCTGGGTCGGGGCTTTTCCATAACAGCAAGGCTTCTAAGGTGCCACTGGTGGTCGGTACCTACTGACTGTGGTTGGATGAGGGAAAAAACAAAAACCGATGACAGACTGTCGGGTGCCCACGGCTCACTAATGCTCAGGGGCAGCGGAGGCTGTCCTCTCTGGTACCGAGTGGCATAAGGAGTACTGTGGGGCAACTGATGGAATATTTTAATGCTGCGCATGAAATAGCTGAATCACAACACAAAGGCCATCACAACCTGCTGCATATGGGGCTGTTTAACTGCAGACTAGTTAGAATTCCCATGCAGACCCGTCTCCACCGGCGGAAGTGTCTGTAATGGGCATGTGATCATCGGGACTGGACTATGGACCAGCGGAAGAAGGTCGTCTGGTGTGATGTATCCTGTTTTGTTTGACATCATATGGACAGGCGGGTATGTGTGTGTCATTTCCCTTGGGAACAGATGGCTCCAGGATGCACTATAGGAAGACATGCTGGTGGAGGAAATGTGATGCTCTGGGCAAAGTTCTGATGGGAAACTTCGGGTCTGGCCATTCATGTGAAGGGTACTTTGATGCATGACAACTGTCACGACATTGTTGCAGACCACATACACCTGTTCATGACAATGGTATTCCCAGATGGCAGACGCATCTGTCAGTGGGATAATGTGCCCTGCCACACTGCATGAACCGTTCAGGAATGGTTGTCGGAGCTGATGAAGAGTTCACAGTGTTTCCGTGGCCACCAGATTCTGCAGATCTGAATTCTTTTGAATACTGAATCCTGGGATGTGCGGTACCAGCAAATCCGATCTGAGGTGGCTCCACCTCGCAGCTTAAGGGACTTTATGGATCTGCTGCTGATATCTTGGTGGCAGATACCACAGGATGCCTTCAGAGGTCTTGATGAATCTATGCCTTGTTGGTCAAAGCTATTTTGGTGTCAACAGTACATTAGGCACATGGTCATAATGTTTTGGCTTTATGGTGTATGTGTTACATCAAAGAATAGTCCATTTAAACACATTACAGTTCTGTAAGTACTATACCAGTTTTGGTACAGTTTTTTTGAGCATTGTAAGTCGTTGTGTTTTTGTTCTCCACTCTGAGTGATCCCGTGTAATTCCTGCTCAGATTCTGCCACAGATGCCCTGAAGACTGGGCTTTCTGACATGGAGTATCTGCGCTCTAAGGTGGCGACCGTGCATGAGGATGAGCTTGAGCGTGATGATGGGGACGTGGGGGGGTCTGCTGTCAGCCATTGCACTGACAGTGCTTATGAAAGTGGCAACAGAGATACTGTTCACACCCACAAAGAGAAGGGGAGGCATGGCAAGATGGACATAAAGCAAGTGAGTATCTATTCCAGTCAAAATAAACAAGACTGCTGATGGTCTCATGTTAAAAAAACTAAAGGATGTTGAATATGTAAACCTGTAAAATATTAGGCTGCAGTTATTCCTTAAGAGCTTCCCTACCACAGTCCAGGAGATATAAATGCTGATCTTCCCTATACTAACACTTATACGCTTCATTGAACTTGATAATTTTTCTTATTTAACTATTTAGCATTTTCTCCTAGTTCTAATTGTTAGCATGACACCCATTAAGGTAAAACACCATGTAATGCACCTCTGGTATAATTGGACTTCAAGGGGACTGAAAAGACAAGCCTGCCGTGAGAGGTCATACATAGAACCTTCTAGTAAAATGTACGGGAATTGAAAACTTTTCATGATCAAATGTTGAGCGGAAGTACTCCTCATCTCTGGCCTGATGTTAGAGTACCACTTTTGGTGGACTTTGAGTATAAAATGTTGAGTACTCAGAAGGGGACTATGTACTTTTCACATGTGAATCGCTGTAATGTCAGTGTGATGCCTTCATTCCTTACACCATTCTTTTCCCCACAGATGAAGCCCGCTACGGATTTTACAGTTAAGCTTCGTGGTGCTCCTTTCAATGTCAAGGAGGTGAGTGGTCGAGTGGGGTGCAGGGTTGCTAAGGGACTAAGAGCATATTTGTTTTTTAAGTGTTTGACCTCTGTATAGTGGTTTCTCTGCACATTTAATCAGGTGCCTTTTCAGATTCATAGAAATGCTAAGTTAATGACATAGCTAGCATAGAATATCTAGTTAACTTAATATGTTGTTTAGTCCACAATCATGTCTCACTCAGTCATGAGTGCTTTGGTGATGGTTAATTGGCTCTTTGTTTTTTCAAGCAACAAGTGCGAGAGTTCATGACTCCGCTGAAGCCTGTTGCCATCCGTATTGTGAGGAACAGCAAAGGCGACATGACAGGTTATGTGTTTATGTATCCTAATATCTTTATTCACATTAGAAAACAGGATTTTGCCCATACTGTTCCTAATTTATTTTTTTTATTTTTTTATCTATTATATTGGTCCTATTAATAATTTTTATGTTATAGTTAGTTGTAGTTTATGTTATAGCCTTAACAGATGGAAAAAAAATAAATTCAACTATAATTAGTATTATTCCTAATAATAAAAAGCATCCATTGTCATTAAACATTGATTTTGTCTGTCTTGTCCTTTTTGTGGTTAGGCTATGTGTATGTGGACCTACGCTCACAGGAGGAGGTCACAAAGGCCCTTCTCAAGAACAAAGACTACATGGGTGGGTGACCCCAGATTCGTGGCTTTGCCAAGGATGTAGTATGAGCACTTTCCCACTGAAGTTCAGGAACCTAGTTCCTGGTTTCCAGCTCCTGGGTCATCTGAACTGGAAACTTTTGTAGCTTCTGGCCACTTTCATGTGTTGCTTTCCCACCGCGCAACAGGAACTTAGACCTTCATGCTAAATAAGCATGGCAGACACAAAAAGCTTATAGATTAGACTAGCAAATATTACCACCACCCAAAAATGATGGAGGATGAACAAGTCATTTTGTTAGTTATTAGTTATTGTGGGGGATCAAATGCACAGTCCGAAAATACGCTACGGCAAATCCTGTCTGGATTTAACTGGACATAGCATTTTATTTATATCTTGTTTATAAAGCCTGTATCGTTTATAATTTCATCATTAAATCTAGCCAGTAGATCCACAGAATAAAAAAAGATGTAACGTTATTCCGCTAATAAGCGCTGACAAGTTTCACTGCCGCATCGGTAATGTTAGAAGTACAGGGGTTGGACAATGAAACTGAAACACCTGGTTTAAGATCACAATAATTTATTTGTGTGATGTAAGGCCTCTCTTTGCAGCCAGTACAGCATCAATTCATCTTGAATGAGAGATACAAGTCCTGCACAGTGGCCAGGGGTGGGCAATCTTATCCACAAAGGGCCGGTGTGTATGCCGGTTTTTGGAGTAACTTTTAGGTCAGCTGTTCAAATGCCAGGTGTGAGGATTCTTCAGCCAATCAGTCCTCTAATTAATAATAATAATTAGGGAGTTGCAGCGAAAACTCCCATACACAGTGGCCCTTTCTGGATAAGATTGCACACCCCTGTCCTAGGACCTTCAAGCACTCCAAGTTGCTGCAGTAGGAACATGGCAGAAGTTCCTGGTTCCTGGAAAAGGTTCCTAGAGTGGGTAAAGTGCCTATGGATGGGACAGGGGCTGCCACTGACTATTTTTCTATCAGTTAAACTGATTGGCCGATTTAATCTGACCCCTTAGAAGTTCCCTGTGCTGCCTATGTCACCTATAGGATTGACAGACCCAGACGTCATTATCAGATGTTGCATGTAAATGTATTAAATTGTGAACTGAAGATTGTGTAAAGGGTGGGAACATTTTTGACTGATGGCATATAGGTGAAGCATAGCTGTGTCCTGTCATTTAAATTTCTGGCATTGTTTAAAATGCTAGTCTGTAAGACCCAGGAGTTAATGCAATTGTTTAGGAATAACACTGGTAAAGTCTGGTAAATAAGACTGGTAAAGTCTAGCCAGTAGTAGTATTGTTCCATGTAGTATTGTTCTTAAATATTTAATGATAATGGCTTTGTTTGGAATTAATTTAATCTGTAGTTGCAAAGGGATATTTCCTACTGCAAAGTATGCTTTTAAAAGTTCTTTAATTTTTTTTTTAATTATGGTAGTGAGGACCTTTTATTCCTGAACCAAGTAGGATGACTGCAGTATTCAGAATGAGATTCTTCTACCATAAGTCAGACGATGCCTGCTGAAACTTTACTAGCCTATTATGAATATTAATAGGAAAGCACTTTTCTGAAGCTTGGTCCTCAGCTGCCTGTGTTCCTTGGTTCTGCAAGACCTTGAGTTTCATTAGCAAAGGATAATATCAGATTGTTCACATGGTGATGACAGGCAATGCAGCTGGTAGCAAAATTCTCTTGTGCCCTAATGGTGGAATGACTGCCTGCATCCCCAGGAGGGCGCTACATTGAGGTGTTCTGCACCAGCTCCAGCAAGAAAGAGTCTCGGCCAGGGACTATGCATGCCCAGCAGCGCAACTTCCAGCGGGAGCTAAGGGAGGATGAGGAAGAGGAAGATGTGTCTGAGTCAGGCAGGCTTTTCATCCGGAACCTGCCGTACACCTGCACTGAGCAGGAGCTGTCTGACATCTTCACTAAGTATGGTATGTTGCCATGGTAACCATTGTGTTGTGTAAATTGTTGTCTTTGTGAATTGCTTCAGTTAACAACTTTTACACAGAAAATCATCCCAATCATCCAGTGTGTCTCCATGATGTGGTAGTAATGGTGAGATGTTTTGTCCTGCAGTGTTTAAGACGCAGTTTATTCTCATTTTCCGTCCGTCCCCCTAACCTTGTTTTTCTAAGGTCCCCTGTCAGAGATCCACTTCCCTATTGACAGCCTGACCAAGAAACCCAAGGGTTTCGCCTTCGTCACCTACATGATTCCGGAGGATGCCGTCCACGCCCTTGCCGAAATGGATGGCCATGTTTTCCAGGTGGGCCTATCTTGGAAATATTGTGTCATACTTTCTAATTTCTGTTGTGGTATTCTTTCACAGGGCAGCTTGCAAATTGTATAGAGTAGTGTTCATATGGAGCATTGCTCATAGACATAATAGTAAGTAGTATGAAGCTTTTTGCTGGCAAGATAGTAGATGAGATCATAGTATTAATGATAATTCAAGAGGCTGCATGCCCTGTGATCTTATGGCTTGTGAATCTCAGGGCCGCATGCTACACATCATGCCTTCCACTATGAAGAAGGAGAACCAGAATTCAGGCCCCTTGGGTCCTGGCTCCTCCTCGTACAAAAACCAGAGGGATGCCAAGCAAAAGGCAGCCAGTAGCAGGTGGGTACTCTCTCCATGGCAATGCACGTGCTAGCTCCAAGTTAATTTCATTGCCGCCTTTGAAGGGATGCTTCTGTAGGGATCTTGACTTTTTGCTAAGAAAACAGTAATGTTGGTGTCCTTGTTTTTAAAGTCTTTTTTTTCTGGTGCACTCAGCTCCCACAACTGGAACACGCTGTTTCTGGGCACTAGTGCAGTAGCAGATGTCATTGCTGAGAAGTACAACACATCCAAAAGCCAAGTTCTCAATCATGTGAGTGAAAATTTTTTTTTGTGACATTAAAGTCCAGAAGTGTCGCATGATATGCAGGCTGTGCGTGAGTGAACCATCAGCATGCCCTCTGTCATTTAAACGTGATCCTGCTCTTCAGGAGTCTCAGGGCAGTCTGGCTGTGAGGATGGCCCTGGGTGAGACGCAGATCGTCCAGGAAACACGGCAGTTTCTACTGGAAAATCAAATCTGTCTGGACTCCTTCAGTCAGGTAGGGGTTTGTCATATGTAATAACATCTCTGGTAATAGATTTTTCACCTGTTCTTTTATGTAATTTTCTCTGTTTGGTCTATTGTGGTTGCCCTTAGAGTGGTGATATTGTACGTTACATTTTGCTTTCCAGTAGCCTAACTTGTAGTGGTTTTGTATAGAAGACTAATTCAACTGAACAGAATTGCCTGTCTTCTACCTTTGACGGCTTGTCTCGTCAGTTATGTCTGTGCTTGTGTCTGTGTTTGGCTGCTGTCCCTTTGTAGGCCTCGGGCTCCCGCAGTAATACGGTCCTGCTTGTGAAGAACCTTCCGGCAGGGGTCCAGGCTGCTGAGCTGGAAGCCCTCTTCTCCCCTCATGGCTCGCTTGGGCGTGTACTCCTGCCCCCATCGGGACTCACTGCCATCGTGGAGTTCCTGGAGCCTACAGAGGCTAAAAAGGCCTTTACCAGGCTAGCCTACACCAAGGTGTGTCCCACAGGCTATGTGTGAGAGGGGAGGGGAGACTATGGGTATCATCATGTCTGCACTTTTTAGACCTGAAGGCTGAAGGTGAAAGGTTAAGGTCATAGAACATAATGAATCCTAAAAATGTGCTTTAAGAGCTGTTAAACAAAGAGCTTTTAAATTTAATTCTAATTAATATTAAAAAATGGTTCCCTCTTGATTGGTGTATTTGATGCCCTTAATCGGGGTGCTTGTGCGTATTTGCTGAGCAGATTCACAGTGCAGGTTAAACACTCTAACACTCTGGTTACACATCAGCTCTTGACCCTTTCATTCTCTCTCTCTCTCTGGCTCATGTCATGTGCTTCACATCTTTGACTCGCATCACATTACTTCCTTTTCTCCAGTTTCAGCATGTTCCGCTGTATTTGGAATGGGCTCCCATGGGGGTCTTCTCCGCACCTCCACCGGACAGGGCTGAGAGGCCTTCTGCGGAAACTGACCCAGGTAACTCAAAGCTCTTTTATTTACCGCTAGCCTGGGAGAGCCATCTAGCTTTAGCATCGGTAAGGAGCACAACTTTTATTTCTCTCTTCATGCTTGTTCCATATTTAGTCTTTTCCTGTCAATAAAGTATGTAAACCATCCATGTAGCAAATCAATATGTTTTGCAATGCCAATAATAAGATTTTCATAAAACCCTCTTCTTGCTTACTGTTAAAGGGAATGGGGTTAAAGGCAAAAAACACGCACATACATTTTTTTTTTTTTGCATTATTCAGTCCCTCCATCTCAGGACCAAAGCCTATCCCAAGAGGAGAGTAGTGAGGATGAGGAGGAGAGTTTGCCAGGCTGCACACTCTTCATTAAGAACCTGAACTTCCACACCAAAGAGGAGACCTTGGCGGAGGTGGATCCAGAATATGGATGGCATGTGATGTTTTATTAATCAGAATCTCTAAACATGCTGTCCTTCATTGTGTTCTTCCTCTGTTCATAAACAGGTCTTCTCCAAGTGTGGTCCTGTGAGGAGCTGTACCATCTCCAAAAAGAAAGATAAAACAGGTCTGCTCCTCTTTGTGCTGTAGATCACAGCTCGCTATCATGTTCTGAATCACTGCTGTAATTGTCCTCTCCCATGTTAACCTCTCAGGTGTTCTGCTTTCCATGGGTTATGGCTTTGTTGAGTATAAGACCCCCAAGGCAGCACAGAAGGCCCTGAGACAGCTTCAGGTACCTGAGTTCTACCTGCTGTCATTGGTCCAAGGTCATTATTGGCTGTGCGTTTAATTCAGAATGCCACTTCATCTGGGTTTAATTTTTAATGTAAATTTATTTTCAACGTGACATATTAGTAATCAAAATGTATTTAAGACTATTGTGTCTAACATTTTCAAGGGAAAGAAAATACTGCATTATGATTTATTGGTCTTCTGCCTAAGATAAACTGCAATATTGAATGACATCTGGATTTTGACACAAGTTGACTTGTGCATTTCTGTGTTATCTAGTTCATTATGTTGGCTGACACAAATGTCTAAAGTGCATATTCAAACTGTTAATGCCTTTCGATTTAACCGCCAGTGTTTTCCATTGGTCCATGGCTCAGTACTGAGCATGAGCAGCCTCTAGTGGCCCGTGGGACTACGGGGCAGGTATATGCGGTTCAGCCTGTAATGTAATAACTAAAGAAATATGGGATAATTCATGTCTTGTATTGGCATGGAGTCTGGTTTTGTATAAAGGTATACACAGAATGTAAATGTGCTCTGCTGTGAGTACTGTAAAATTGTGTTATTATGTACATTTCACCTGCTCAGTCTTCCATGGTCATGTTAAGAGTAATGGTTGTGTTTTGAGTAAGCTCCCCACAGATGTAGTGGTGAGGTGTCTTGGTTCAGTGTGACCTGTAACTAGTCTCTCTCCCCCCCCCACCCCACCAGCACTGCATGGTGGATGAGCATCAGCTGGAGCTGAAGCTTTCCGAAAGGGTCAACAGGTAAGTGGGCCCCTTGCCCATGCCTATGCCCCTCGTAGGCCTGGCAGACTCACACCCCCAGCACTTCACCCCCACCCCCCCCACCTGCCTGTCCATGCTGTGAGCCTTTGCCCTGCCCCCCCTCCCCCAGGTCTGTCCCACCAAGCTCCCAAAAGAAGCAGGCGGCCAAAAAGCAGACCAGCTCCAAGATCCTGGTCCGGAACATCCCCTTCCAGGCCACAGCTAAGGAGCTGCGAGAGCTCTTCGGGTAAGCCCCCCCGCACTTCATTTTCTCCATTCTGGTGCCCTGCATGCACCTGGGCTGCAACAGCAAGTGGCTTCTGTTTTTGGAATATGACCATGTATGTTGCAATTCTACAATAAGCCCACAAGGGGGACTCGGGTTACTGTTTGTGTGCACTGTGGAAGAACTTCCTGCCCTGGGAAATGTGATGAAGACAGAGTAAAAGCATAAATGTATAAGGTGTGGCATACATACATTTTACTAGGAATCTAGGTTTAATGTTTTGCACATTATTATTACTATAGTAATATTAATAACATTTATTTTTGTAAATACCTGAAATAATTTACAGTTTACAAAGCAAAAGGAGTACCAGATGAGTGTTTGAGAACTAAAAAATGTCTTTGAATGTTGGGTTCCACAATAGTGCCACCTTTGACCTGAAAACAGCTTCACAAACCGGAGGCAATTAGTTAACAAATTTCAGCAGGGAATCATAGAACTTTTTTTGCAGGTTTGTTTTGGGTTGCTACCTTGTTGATGAATGATCCTGATGGCTGTAATCCTTATGGCTATAAACGCCACCCCAGCAGTTCCTAGTCAAACGAAAAGTACCTACCCTGGAGTAGGGATTAAAAATGGTTCAGAAATGACAATTGGGCCTAGTTCCTGTGGAGGGAATGCAACAGAAGTTGCTGGTTCCTGAAAAGTTCCTGCGGTGGCAAAGGGCCTATGGACAATGAACAACTCATTAACCATAAGATCAAAGTGTCTACCATTTAAATCATAGATAATGATGGTTTCAAGCAGGCTTAGTCAAACTATTGACTAGAGCTGCAATGATTCATCAAGTAACTCGAATATCTCGATTACAAAAAATCCTCGATGCAAATTCTTTGCTTCGATGCTTCGTGTAATCCGCACGACTGTGTACTGCTTAGTAATCACTGTGTTTCACCCGGAGGATTATTACTGTCGCACAGTGTGCTTGCGCTGCATTACATGTAGCAGGTTTGATCTGATGGCGCGATGGAGGAAGACAGAGAAAATAGCAAGGAAAATCAGAGAAAGAGACGAAAAATGTCTAAAGTTTGGGACCATTTCAAACAAAAGAAAAGCGAAAATACTGTACAGTGTATCCATTGTAAAACTGAATTAGCTTACCACAATAACAAAACGTTGATGATTCAACAACTCAACAGAAAGCACCCAGTCTATGCATCCAGTCCACAGAGTGGAACCAATACAAGATAAGCATGAGCGTTTCACTCATATTTGCGGCTAAAAATAGACCTGCGATAGAAACGTATTTATGGGCATATGTGTGAATAAAAAAGTATAACAAGATTCAGCCCAAGCAACCCCTATTTTTCCTCAACAAAAACACTAATAACACAACAGCAGTGAAAATCGCTACTAAACCTTTACTGTACTGTACAAACCAGCTGTTCAACAAGCTGAAAGGTGAAGATAAGCGATGTTTTCAGCTGCTCATATCCACTGCCGTTTGTCTTCCACATCAGCAAAGCTACAGTAAAACCATACAAGTTAAAATAGAAGCTGTTTGTATGCAGATAAATTGTTAGCTTAGTTTGACACAATATTTAAATTTGGCAACTTGCAGCAGGCTGACAGCAGCCGTCACACTTTGTCGCAGTGATACCTGCAGCATGCAGGGGTCAGTCTAAAGGGTGTACTCAACTAGATCTATTTCAAGGCTTTAGTAATATTATTTTGCAGATTTAGATTAATATGAATAATATGACACAATTATAATATAAATAATATAATATAAATATAATATAAAAATTACCCACCCACCCCCTATCCCAAGAGCCTTGGGCCAGTAAAACTCTGAGACACTGAATTATTATTATTTCTTCTCTTTTTCAGTAAATCACAGTGTCTTATGGACAGCTTTGTTCGGGCAGCTTCACCATGTTCAGTTCAGCAAGCTGCTGAGTTGACAGACAGCATTTTGAGCAATGTGCTCACTCACATTCACTTACACACACATGAACATGTACACACCATTTCTACCTCATCCAGGACATACAATCCTGTCAGAACTTTTTTTATGCCTTCTATAAATGTACAAGAATACAGAGAGTAAAGGCCATTTTAATTTATGCCTTAGTTTAAGATATACGTATATCTTTTTTCAGTAATTTTATTTAACATTATTTTATTTATTTTTGCATTTAAGAAAGTGTTTTCTTTAAAAAAAAAAAAAAAAAAAAAACAGCAAATATGTACATAAATGCACTAAATGGGTTTAGTTTTTTTGTCAGTTGTGGTATGGAGTTCAATCATTAAAAATGATCCTAAAAAGGAAACCCATGAGTTGTTCATTTTAAGAGACCTGTCTATTTTTGCTTTTTTGAATAGTTACTATTGCTCTTTAAGACAAAAGTATTTCTTATCCGATTAATCGATGGAATAATCGATAAAATACTCAATTACTAAAATAATCGATAGCTGCAGCCCTACTATTGACTGATCTTAGGTGTGTATATGATGTGGCTGAGCACCTTAATGGTGCTTTGGGCCACACCCAGCTGAGATCTGTGCTGCTATTCTGTTTATGCTTATTTCCAATAGTGCCGTGGGGCTCTACTGAACTGTATTTGAAGCAGCCGAGTGATTAAGTGACTCTGCGGGGGTTGGTGCATGACGGGAGCTTGTGTGTGTGTGTGTGTGTGTGTGTGTGTGAACATTGTGGAGACCTTTTTACTTATAAAAATCTGTAACTGCAATCAAAAAACTAAACTTGTATTTTGTTTGGTTAATTATGGTTAAGGTTTAGGCTGGGTAGGGGTTAATGTCATTGTTGGGATTATGGTTCTTCTCATAGAAATGAATGGACAACTGTCTGTGTGTATGTGTGGATTGTATTTATATTACATTGTGGGGACCAAATGTCCCCCACGGTATGATAAAAACCTGACATTGTGGGGACCATTTTTCGGGTGCCCATAAAGATCTGTGAATGCAATCAAAAATCAAAAAATGCCAAAAGTCTCATCTTTTGTTTGCTTGTTTATAGGTAAGGTTAGGGCTCGGTAAGGGTCATCGGGATTTGAGTTTTCCCCATAGAAATGAATGGACAGCCCCCACAAAGATATAATTACAAACTTGTGTGTGTCTGTGTATATCTGTGTGTGTGTGTGGAGGCGAGCCTTGCTCCTGTGCATCCTCATGTGTGTGTGTATTTACACTGAAGAAGTTTATGACGCTCCCTATCTCCTGAGTGACTGGTGAAGGAGGTGCCTGCTGCAGAGGCGCCCATGCTTCGTCATCTTTATGTGGCACGCCTGGCTGCACACGGCGCTGATGGGCCTGATGGGTAATGGATGGAGCCAATGCAGTGTCGAGGCAGGTTAATGGGCCTTGGTCCGGGAGGCGGGTCTTTCCTCTATCTAGCGGCTCCTGTTTTTGCTTTAGCCTATGCAGGGGGACTCAGCTACATCCTGCATCTTCATTTTCATCTTTCACCACATTGTTAGGTGTCACTTTTTTATTCATGCCTAATAATAGTTTTTTTTAATTATACACACAAACCGATATGAAAGGTAATTCTTTCCTGATTTTCTGATCCAAACAGTTTTTTTGTTATAAACAGGAACACTGATAACTGGTACTGTGTAAAGCGACACAGGCAGCAATTTTTTGTTGTAACAGCGCAGATGCTTATATCATGTAGGTTTCCTTTGCTATGACAAGAAATTGCTATGCTTCTTAACCTTTACACTGTTATTAAAGTACAAATTAGCCATATAAAGGTTAAAATGCATTTCTTGTCATAACAGCGCAAACGTACATATAAGTACGCGTCTACGCTGTTACAACTGTTTTACAGCTAATTCATCCTTGCGTACCAGTTATCTGTATCCCTGGTTATAAGACATGTCATTTATTGGGTAGTATGGTTTATGTAAGCTGCACTTGAGTGGACCTCTGGACCAGGCTCCCTCAGTGCTAGTTCTGATTATGCAACCTGTATGCTGACTTTGCAGCTGTAAGCCACTCAGAGTTGCAGAAATTTTTCGAAGATTATGAGTCATCGCTAATATGGAGAAATTGGTGCACCTAGACAACAACAAGGGGAAAACTGATTTACAGAGGATGGGGGTAGCCTGCAGTGTCCAATTGGAACCAGCAGGGGGCAGTGGTACTTTCTGGGTCCAGTAAAGGGGTTTATAAAATGTCTGTGTGCTCTGCATTATGGTTTGGCAGTGTTACTGCAGTGTTGGTTTTATTTTTTTAATCGTTCTTAGCCATTGACCAACAGCATGAGCTGTGTCAGTATTTGCATATAGTTTATCTTAATTTTGTTTATGTATAACAGCTTATTCATAAGCTTAGTCATAAATGACTACATAGCATTTTAGTGACATTCTGAAAGTTGAGGTAGCCGACCGTCTGTTTGAAACTGCAAATTTGATTAGTGGTCTAAAAACATTAAATAGATAGTTAATCTACCTAGGATTTTCTGCCATGGTTGGGTCCTGCCCTCTCTTCTCTGCACAGGTTGTCTCGCTGGTGGCTAGATGTTCTCACAAGTGCTGAGAAGCCTCAGGCAGGGCAGTTGTTCCACTCCTGTTTCCCAAGCTCCTCAAATGCTTCCCAAGCCGAGCACCCCCTGGCTGTGCTTAGCCATGTCACTGTCAATTGGCCTGAGCGTGATCCAGGTCTTTTGGACTCGTTCATTCGTCATTGACTCTGAACACGCTTCCTGACCACAATTCCTCCTCTGTCCCTCAGTTTTGCTTTCCTGACGGCTTTATTCTGGTGTGTCCCTTGCTCTTGTAACATACCTCAGTGTCCCTGCTTTTGATGGACAGATGGATGGAGCTGCTTGCCTGTGTGTGTAGTGGTCCGCTCACCTTGCTCTCTGTGAGGAACCATTTTGTTTGGTTTAGAAATGGCATGTTGGAATCACTGTTGTCCACAAACCACATATTGACTGTATCACTCCCACTTCGCTCTCCCTCTTTCCACCCAACCATTTCGCCCTTTTGGAATGGTGTACTATTAAAAGTAATATCCTATCAAGCAAAGGATTTTATGACATAGACTGAGCAGCGCAAACGGCTCAGTTGGTTTTTGGAAGGCGGCTGCCGAGTCTGTTGCGCTTAGAAATGTGAGCGTGGATACTGCAGGGTCTGCAGCTGACTTTTGTCTCATTGGCTTGGGCTTTATTTGTGCTCAGCTTCACTGTCCTGATGATTGTATTAGTTTTGTGTATTAAGAGTTTATTCATACCATTTAAATGCCTGGGAGGGTATTAAAATGAACACGACTGAAAGAAATTTAGTGTCTAAACGAAGCGTGTTATGGTATGTGCGGTAGAGAGAGCTCAGAACTTTACTCATCAAATTAGCGAAAATGCAGATAGTTATCTGATGAACTGGAATATTCTTCCTTATTATATAGACAGCACCATGGAAAGAGTGCTTGTGTGGGTAAATGAAAGAGGCTACCAAAGGTAGCTGAATCCAATCTTGTCCTAATGAGAATCCAGTTAAAAATCCATTCGAATGAAGCATGATTCTGTGTCTATCATTTTCAAACAATTACATTCAATTAACATGGCCGCACCGGTTTTAATTGGCTGCAGCAGGATGCAAATTACAGCAGAAGCAGAGAGAGCTGCAGGATCACTGTGGTCCTCTGTGGGGTAGTGCTCTCCCTGCTAAAGCCTTAATAGATGGTATCTTTGTCCTGCTGGATTTCAGGCATGATTGTTATGGAACAATGTAGTTTTTTTTTTAATTTTATTTAAAAAAAATAAAAAATAAAAGGTGCATAAGATTATGATGGCTGAATATGATCTTTAATCTTTAACTGAAAGTGTTCTGAGTTTGCTTGTATGTGTCATTTTAGTGGACATGCTGTGGCATGTCTGATAGATAATGGATCAAAATACATGCATGTGTTAGGATTAAACTGTAAATTAGTAAATGCTAATATGCAAATGTGGGGATTAGGTACTGGCGAGACACACCTGTCCTTACACACAACCAAGCTTAATCCCTAAGAAATATTTCGGCATGTGTACCAATTCTGATGGTTAAAGTGCAGTGGGCCTCAGAGAAGAGCACTCTGGTCTCCAGGCTTTAAACCAGAATGTTCTTTAAAGTGTTTTCATCTATATGAATTCCTTCAAAGAATATGGAATAGTATTTATGTATTGCTAAAAAATTACCAGACACAGTATAAACCGGAAAGGTGTGTGTTCTCAAACATAATTCTGAATAGCACAAATCCTAGTAACAATGCAGTTATTGAAGGAGTTTAAATGTTTTAATAGAGAGAAATTACAGTTTGGGTGGTATTAACCCACAGGGTGAACTTATTATTTAATATGCAATCCCAGGAAACAAAAAAGTAAAAATGTATCAGAATAGGCATGAACAGCATAATGAAAATCTGGGGTTAAATGTGTAAAATTACATATGTAAAGTGTGAAGTATTTTAATTGGTTAGAGATCGAGAGCAGTAGATATCAAGGGATAATCAGCCTACTAATGAAAAAAGAATAGATTCTTAGATTTCTCTTAAGATTTACTTGCGCACACTGGTAGGTGCAATTATAAGTTGCCTTATAGCAGTCTGATATTTCAATAACGCATCCTCCCTTGTGACGTACATTAGACTTGAGTAATTTAAAAACTGTTCATTTTATATCAGGTATGTTTTAAATATTGTAGCTGTAATGAATGCAGTTGAGAAAGATTTATCATCTTATTAAAAATGTTAAATATCTGAATTGTCCATCCCTTCATCGATCTTCTAACTGCCTATTCTGGTCAGGCATGTGGTCATCCAAATATCAGTCATTTTAAAATTAATAACTATATATAAAATGTTGGATGTCTGGTTCATAGATTTTCTGTTCCAATATGTTTTCTTCTGTTTTGTGTTAAAATACATTATAAAATAAAAATATAAAATCTGGTGTGAGTAAAGACTTTTTTTTAACAGCTTGTATAAAGTCTGTATGTGCAGATTAACAGTAGACACTTAAGTTGGAAGCATTTTTAATGTGCTGTTCCATTGTAATTCTGTCCCTGTGGCTTGTATATATTCCAGACACCCCCTCACCAGCCCATGGTAGCATGACATTTCCTGAGATTAACACCCAGACAAAAGTCAGCGTCAAAAGTTAATCCTAAAAGCTGTCTCTAAACAGCCCCCCCCCCCACCCCTCATTCACCCGCTGCCTTCTTGTTAAGTGGGTCTGGAAGCACTATCCAGTGCCAGAATGTATTTCTGCAATGTGAGCCACCCCAGGGATGATGTCACAGCCTGATGTCAGTAGATGCAACGTATCCATTGGTGGAGGGCTGCCTCTGGTACTCCTATGCTTCCTGTCAGTCTCACTCTGCACTTCCCTGCCAAGTTCTGACCTGTAGGGAATGTGCCCTACTGTGGAAGCTTATTAACAGGATTGCTGTGATTGGGGGGGGGGGGGGCTTGCCTCTAGGGTGAGTGGGGGGATTCTGCTCTTTACTAACCTCTTTCTACAGTACAAGTCTGTCCCCTGCAAGTGTTTGAGGAAAGTATAAAGGTCTGATTTGGAAATAAAAATTAAACTTTTTAAATCAGGAGATGCTTCTGTAAATGCCATGCGGCTGTCAAGAGTGAAATTTCTATTTCTGGAACTCTGGAAGATGACAATAGTCAGAAGTTTCACACAGCCTAAATTGACAACTGAAATGCAGCCAGGACACGCAAGCCCTGTGAGGGTACCATACAGGCATAGCCACCCGGGAATGGAAATTCTCTAAACATCTCTTTCTGTACAAAGAACCATGTCTCAGAGAAGTAGTTCCTCACTGGAGATAAGACCAACCAAGACGGCAATTTAGAATTATGTGTTTTGTTACTTTTGGAAATTCTATCTGCAAATAATTCAATGCAGCAGCTATTATTATGCATGGCCCAATAAACAACCTTCTGATTGGCTAATCAAATATGCTATGGGGTGTCAGTGCCTTAGTGCTGGTTAGCGATGTGCTAAATCAGATCTCTCCTCAGTATGCAATAAACGGTCTCTGTCTGTCCTTCGCCATTTGTCGTAGTTCTCACTCTTATGAGCCGCGACAGTAAAGTAAGCAGGTAATTTTGGCATAAACATCACATTATGTTCTGTGGAACTTCACTTGGGACCCATGTGAAATAACTGCCATGTGTGATTTCGGAGTAATCAGGTTATGCTGACCAGCAGGTGAATGCATTACCCCAAGCTGATATATTATGTAGGTGAGCTTGTGTCTTATCTATTTTCCAGGACTTTTGGGGAGCTTAAGACTGTCAGGCTGCCCAAGAAAATGAGTGGGACGGGATCGCACCGCGGCTTTGGCTTTGTGGACTTCCTCACCAAGCAGGATGCCAAGGTAAGCTCCTTGCCTGTTAGTGTCCCCACGCTGATGGGAGGCTGTCCCCAGACTGGGCCTCTAGCCTGACACGGCCCCTCTGTCGGCCTGAGTTGTTGACACCCAGGGTGCCTTGACCCACAGTAATAGTTGGGTGAGGCTTGCTGGGGGGTGTGGGCCCTTTCAGCACTGCCGTGGGGCCCTTTCAGCACTGCCGTGGGGCCCTTTCGGCACTGCTGTGGGGCCCTATAAGCACTGCCATGGGGCCCTTTCAGTGTCCTGTCTCTGCTCTCAGCTCTCGTGCCCATCAGACCACTAGTGCAGCGAGGATTTCTGCTCTTTCCAGTCTCTCCTGCCTCCTGCAGCTATGAGAGATACTCATTTGCTGTTTTTCATCTTTGTTCTGCTGTGTGTCTGCCCCCCTCACTCCTGACCTGTTTGTCTTCCATCTCCTCTCTAAAGCTGGCCTCTGTTGCTCCCTATCAATGATTCTCACTCTTTTTTTTCCAATTTTCTCAGGACCCAGCTGTCTTGCTGTACCCCCTCTGGTCTCTTTCGGCCTGATCATGGTCCTAATGACAGAGTGTAACGACTGCCCCACCTCCCCCCCCCAGCCATGCAATGTACCCCAACCATTACAAGATCACACCTCTCCTGGGGTCCTGCTTTGTCAACTGGCAGCGTCCTGAGCTGCTGCACGTGCACACGCACACTCAGAAAGACACCCGGTCCCGTACACTCACACATGCTCACAGATACACAAATCCCTCCTCGTCCAGCTTCACACGTGTACAGTTATACATATGTATACACAAAATCAGTCTGAGGAAGTGTTAATTTCCATCATCTTGTGGGAGGGGGAATCAAATTTATCGAGAAGTGTGAGGTCTCAGCTGTCAATGAGTATGTAAAGAGTTTGTGTGTGTGTGTGTGTGCTGTTCATAAGAAGTATCTGATGATGTGAAACGTCTCACAAAAAATTTACCTCAGAAGGCCTACGATCAAGAAGTGTTGATTTTCATAAAGCTGGAATGAGTTACAAAGTAATCTCAATGAACTTGGATATTAATCTGTCCCCAAATAGACAAATTGTCTGTAAATGGAGGCAATTTAGTACTGTTGCTACTCTGCCTTGAAGTGGGCGCCCAGCCAAGATGACTCCAAAGATACAATGCAGAATACTCCGAGGGAAAAAAAAAAAAAAAACGTAGTGCAACTGCTAAAGGCTTGAATAAATCATTGGAACTGGTTAAAATTTCTGTGCATGAGTCTACCATATACAAAACATTGAACAGACACGATGTTCGTGGCAGGACACAGTGGAGGAAGTCACTGCTCTCCAAAAATAGTGCTGCTTGCCTGTTTTTACAAAGTTTTACAAAGAACACCTTCACACTACTACAGGGGAAATGTTTAGTTTACTAATGAAACTGAGTTTGAATTGTTTGGCAAGAACATGCCGCACTATATGTGCTGTAAAATGGGCAACGCATAACAACATCAAAATATCCCAACAGTGAAGTACAGTGGAGAGGAGCATCATGATTTTGGGCTGCTTTGCTGCCTCAGGGCCTGGACGGCTTGCCATTGTTAAGGGGAAAATTTTAATTCCCTAGATGATCATAGCATCCTGCAGAATAATACGAGGGTGGCTGTCTGCCAGCCAAAGCTCAGTAGAACTTGGGTATTGCAACAGGACAATGACCCTAAGCATTGCTAAATCTACTGCAGAGTGGTTTGAAAAAGAAAACCTGCCATTTGCAGTGGTCCTGTCAGAGCTTAGAACTTAACCCGAAAAGATGCTGTGGAATGAGAGAGTCGTTCACACCAAACCTAAAAATGTGGCTCAGCTGAAGCAGTTCTGCAAGGAAGAAAGGTCAAAAATTCCTTCAGGTCTGATCTGCAGATACCAGAGGCACTTTTTTGAGGTTATTGGTGCAAAAGGAGGGTTAACTAGTAGCATACTTTTTCTTGTCACTTGTTTAATGTTGGAACTGTATTATAGGCTGTTGCAGTTAGTTCAATGCATAAAGAGGCCTGTTAATTTCAAAGCAATATAATATTTAAATGGGAGTGTTTTACAGCATTGATTTGGTATTAATACTGAGGGACTGAGGCTGCTCTCAGTATTACGGCTAGGTGATATTATCGATAATTGACTGAGACAAGTCTCCCGATGTCGATATCTGACAGTGACTAACCGGAAATTATCGCCTTTGTCAGCAAAGCAGGCTTCTAAGCTCCACACAGAGATAACAAAGATGAATGATTTGTCTTTCAGTTCAGCCTTCAAATAAATGTTTCTGATGCTGTAATTACCGTAATTTTGTGAACTACTGCTTTATATGGTTTTAGATGGTTCATATGTTTTAAATCATAAGTAAATTTTGCCTGCCGATCAGTTGTCTTCTATAGAGGCTAAAAAATAAGGATCAGCATCGCTAAACAGCAACTCTCATGCTTGGCAAGTTTTAAATCCAACTGTTTAGCGGTTTATCTGAAATTTGTTTTGTCATGGCATTTTTCTTTCAACTAAGAAAATTCAAGTGCCCCGTTTGGTTGTTTGTGTGTGTGTGTCTATGCATGGGTGCGAGTCAGATATACATTACATTATTAAATTCAGATATATAGTACATTACTTTAGGTAGGGGCTGGGTATGGGTTAAGGTTGTCATTGTAGTTGGGATTAGGGTTTTGCTCATAGAAATGAATGGATGGTACCCACAAAGATATGAGTACAGGTCTTTGTGTGTATTGGTTTGCATAGATCACCTGAAACTTCCTTACTTTTAGGGACATTGACCTCATATAAGCTCAGTTTTATAAAAATGTGTGAATGCAATCAAAAAAGTAAAAATGTGTTTGGCTGCTTAGGGTTAAGGTTAGGGCTCTGTAGGGGTTAAGGGTGTCATTGTTGGTATGAGGGTTTTGCCCGTAGAAATGAATGGAAGGCCCCCATTTAGATAGGTACACGTGTACTGTATGTGTGGTGGGGATGAATCAATTTTGTATTGCATATTTTTTTTTAGATATTGCACAGCCCTAAATCAAAGTCTGGACTTTGGTATGGATGCACCGTTAGCCTGCTGTAATGCGGGAGGAGGGTGCAAAGTGGCTTGACTTGTTTGTATGTTCCTAACATGGAGCTAGTTATTCATGCAGCCACGCTGTTTGTCCTGCGGACCTGCGGTGGGCGAGTCCACTCGTAGTCAGGTACTTGGTGACCACCTGAGGGCGCTCTCCGTGCCCTGCACAGTGCCACAGGACAGCATCTGCCTTGGCCTATCAGTCTGCGGGCCGGTCGAAGCCTGTCAATAAACACTCTTTGACAAGATAAACAGCAGTCACAATGTGATTTATTTCCCCGTCTGTACATCAGCAGAATCTTGTGGCAGCTGCAAACAGCTGTTTCGGCATGCCGCATTTGCACCTTGTCAGAGGACCCCCCCCCCCATTAGCGCGCGGCACTGTCAGGTTAAATAAACAGCCAGCAGTTTAGGTGGCTAATTGCTGTTTTCTTTAAGTAAAGTGGCACCAAATAGATGCTCATCTGCATGCGTCATGCAGTCGGATTTGCGCCTGGCAACCATACACCGCCCACTGCTGTGGGCACAGGCTGCAGGGTCATAGGAGTGAGAGCCGGGGTGGGGGGTTTAATGACTTGTTCCCAGGAAGTAAGCATGTGATGCAAGCTAGATACTTGCCTACCTGTGTGTGTATGTGTGTGTGCATGTGTGACTGTCAGTCTTTCATTTTGCTAATTATTTTCACTCTCCTCAAATCAGTTGTAATGGTTTTGGCTTTGGAAAAAAAGGCTTAATTGGGGACTATTACTAAAGCAACTCATGTGTGTCTCTATGTGTGACAATCTCATCTCCCCCACAGAAAGCCTTCACCACGCTTTGTCACAGCACACACTTGTATGGCCGCCGTCTGGTGCTGGAGTGGGCCGACACCGAGGAGACACTGGAGGCACTGCGCAGGAAGACTGCCCAGCACTTCCACGGTGAGGGGCCTTCCCTGTGTGCTATGTTCCCTGTGTCACACGTACAAGCATTTCATCAAGGCAGATTACTACACATATGGCATGATCACAAGCATTTGATCATTGTGAATTACATCATGTGTGACACGCTCACAAGCATTACATCACACACACTCACAAGCACAAATGCCAACCACTCACCAGTATTTATCAAAGGTGGCCAGCTTTGGCTTAGGAAGGAACTACATTGTTGATAAACAAAGGGTTTCCTCTAAGAACAGGTAAGGAAAAGCAGGGAAGTTCTGAAAGGGAACTTTCTTTGGTAGAGTTTCATCTTAAGTGTTGGTGGTGCAGGTGTTTTGTGATACTCGCTCTGCCATTGTGGCTGATTCTGAACCCATATTTCAAACAGCACCACAAAAAATGTACGTGGTTTTAAAAAACACATTCCACTCCCACCTCAAATGTTTGTCGGTTTTGGGTACATTTCCCAGTGCATGGCTATGAGTGTAGCACCTTCCTTACTGCAGAAGAATGTGCCAACATCTGCACAACACAGCCTACAGACCATTTGAGAGGCACAGCACTCAACACTGAATATTTTTCCTTCATTACCAAACATGTGATCCCAGACCATTATTAATTACACAGTTGCTGCAGACATGTGGTCAGGCAGGGTATCAGAGCCCTTTATATAAGGCTGTCAACTTAATTGGTAGCAATTTTGAGCTTAAAATCCAGTACTTGTGAATGTTGTTTTTTTTACGGAGATAACACTGCTCACAGGCTGAGAGCCACGTAGCCAAAGTGAAGATGGTGAAGATTATCCCATGGTACCTGCTGTATATGCTGCTTTTTTGCTGTTAATGCTTTGATTTAAAGAAACTGATTTTTCCCCAATTTATTTGATCTCAGTGGTATTAAAATTAGTGATTCAGTTGCTTAATAAAATGGGTAAACAATTCAGTTAAATAGTTCAACACAATAATGCTGGAAGTGATGCAGATTAATTTCACCTCCAGCTCTGCATGCATATGGAGTTTGAGTACGGACTCCATCTTAAGTGAGTACAGACTCCATCTGCAGTGTGTACCAGTATCAATGCCGCATGAGATTTTTTCCTGATCATGTAGCCCTATTGTTACATCACACACTGTGTCATCATTACATACTGCATCCCCATACATTAGCTGTACCCTCTTGGACATTTTACGCGTGATAACATGTGATCACTTATTGGTTGTGCACAGAGTGTGTTTTTGGTGGCAGTGAGTATGTACAGCTGTGTCATCATAATGGCACTTCGAGAGCTGTATGAACGTGCGAGTTTGCTCTGCCAATTGATCGCCTCTCTACATGTTTGTTTAGAGAGATCTTTAGCTGTCCGGAGGCTCCCTCCTCAATCAATCTGCCGGAGCTGTGCTTTCCCTCTTCAGCGTTTCCTGCTGGGCGATCGATGCCCTCTGAGTCCATCTCCACACTCTGACACAGCTGGCCTTGCTTGTCACTGAGAGGGATGAACTGAGGGAGTGATGGAAAGATGAAAGACTCAAAAAAGCTGCCTGGGATAGCCATTCCGTGCGGGGCTGGGTTTTGATGGGTCTGAGCCCCATTTCCACTAAAGCCAGTTATGTTGTGTGATATGATGTGTTCATCTTGTATTGCCAAATTCCCCCCTGCAGTCTTACCCATTAGTTAGGTGTCCTGTACGTGTTGACAGACTGCCTACATCACCTGTATATTTGTGATTCATCTGCTTTCTATCACTTGTCCAGTTCTGGTTACACTCGTCCTGACTGACAATTACTGGTTCTGATTCCTGGCCTACAGCACTAGAGCTCTTCTTTGGTGGCTCCATGTGAGCCAATGTGGAAGTATAAATGATTGAAGATAAATTGGCACCCTGTACATCAGCCCCACCCCCTCCAAACTCCATTGTTGGTGTTAATGATGGCTGGGATTCACTGGCCGCACGCTTCTGCCTGTCACTCTGGTTCAAGACGCTTCCTATTACTGTTTTTCAAATCCAATTTCCCATCTCCATTGTGGTCATTGTGCTACAACTCATTACTGCCGGCGAATGGGATGAAGCCGCAGAGGAGCTGGTCAAATGCTGAAAGGGAAAATCAAACCTAATTATTGCTTATTGATTTCACAGACAAAAAAAGGCATCAGTTTGTCCTGCTGGCCCAGTACTGTAGGCCTAGTCTATATGACCTGTCAGTCAAGCAGGAGTGCGACGAGGAAAACGCTTCCTCTGTGTCTGCTTGTCCAGCAAGGTCCTTTATTTTTATTTGACTGCTTTGTGTATGTATTTACACAATTTTGGAGGAATTCTTATTCACTGTGTATGTGAGGTATGCCAGTTTCTTTGTGCTTGTAGAGCCATGCTTGTCTTACTACTTAAATTCACCATGATCGTGGTTGTGAGGGCATAGTTTTCGGAAAGGGAGATTGTCAGGGGGCAGCGAGGTTGTCATGGAGGAGAGAGGTTGTCATGGAATTTTGTTACCAGAATCATGCAGTTTTGCATCCATAGCCTACTACTTTTTGTAGTTTGAGATGCCCTAGATATGTGTATAACAGGGGTCTCCAACTCTGGTCCTGGAGAGATACTATCCAGTAGGTTTTCTGTCCCACTTGGCTTCTGATGAGCCACACTTGTTCCTGGTATTTACCTGAGAACAGGTGTGGCTCATCAGAAGCCGGGTATGATAGAAAACCTACTGGACGGTAGCTCTCCAGGACCGGAGTTGGAGACCCCTGGTGTATAATATTGCTGTAACTTGTAGTTTAAAAATGCCTAGTAATACTTGTTCAGGCTTTGACCTCAGTATCCCTGAAGCCTAACCCTTAAATCTGTATTTATTGAGAGGATGGGTTTGCATGTACAGAATTTTTAACTATTTGATCAGTAAATATACAGTAAATGGCTTAACTTAGTGACCAATGATGAATGTGAGTACAGTGGTACCTCAGAGCTTGAATTTAATCTGTTCCGAACTCCAGGTCGAATCCTAAAAAGTTTGAGGTGTGATCGAATTTTCCCCATAAGAAATAATGGAAAACCAATAAATTGGTTCCCGGCCCCAAAAAAATATACCTAAATATGTTTTTTTAGCATTTAAACACAAAATGAACCAGATAAAACAAGAACAGCCTATACTATACTAAACACATTTAAGCACATTTATCAAAACAGTAATTTGTAATGTAAGAAAATAAATGTATCCAAACAATGTGTCCTGCCCCGATCGTCCGCTCCTTCCGTGTGCCACGCCCCCTCGTTAACCCCATGTAGAATCCCCGTGTGATCAAGTGTTTCTGGTTGTTGTCATTAGTCCTTTGTATTTCGTCCGCGTTTCAGTTTGTTTCCCCAGTCCAGTCATTGTATTGTCCATCTGCGTTTTGCCTGCCTTACCTGTAATTAAACCCCGTATTCCCCGATACCCTGACGTCTGCGCCTTTGTCTCCGTTCCGTCCCCGCTCGGCACAACAATATTATTATAATTAAACGTATTAATGGTTTATTATTAATATTAAAATAATGAATAAGAAATCTATTTTTACATGTATTTTATTATATAATAA